AATAAATGAAACTTCTTTGATTAAGAATCTAAATAAAATTCTGAATGTTCACAATTCATATGGCTTGAAGTATGGAACAACTACTCTTGACTCGGTATCATTCTGGCTTTTGTTCCCTTCACCATCACTGTTATGATTGAGTTTTGTAAAGTTGCTACTTGCTTTCTCTAACATGTTGCAAATAAATTTAAAATTATCAGTCTTGAAGTATGGATTCATGGAAGTCATAGAGTGCTTTTAATGTGTATGTCTAGAAGCTTTCCAAGTAGTGTATCCGGGAAGTTAAGGAGTTGTTGCTTGGGTTAAGAGCCATATTTGTGTAGTGTGGGATCTTGGAGATTGAGATTTGTGTTAATAAGTTAATAAACACTAAAATTTCATGGGGTTTAAGATTGTCTTTTATCTTTGAGATTGAGATTTGTGTTGAGATATTTTCGAGGTAGTGGTTAGAGGATGTCTAGCTTTCATATCCCATTTGAAGCTTGTGTTCTTAGTTCTAAAATACGCCTTTTTGTTTGTTTTTATCTTTTACAGTATAAAACTCTTTCAGCTTTTTGTAATGTGTGGTTGTGTTGACTTGCAGGTATCAAGGGCCATTTGGATTGGTAGTTTTTGCCTCTTTTGTTATTTGAGCATCTTTGTTGGCCTTACAGAGGGCCCAACTGTTATACCAAGATCAGATCATCTTTGTGACGCTTCTATGGCTTTGGCATAAGAGGTTGAGTCATCTCAACTTCAAAACCCTCAACAAGCTGTCCAAAGAAGGGTTAGTAGAAGGTCTTCCCAAAGCTGTATTCAAGAAGGAAAGCATTTGTGATGCTTGCCAAAAAGGAAAGCAGGTCAAGTCCACCTTCAAAGCAAAATCGGCACCCTCAACTACAAGGACATTAAGTCTTATTCACATGGACTTATTTGGCCCCGTTACACCAATAAGTCTAAGTGGAAAGAAATATGTCCTGGTGGTAGTTGATGATTACTCAAGATACACGTGGACAATCTTCCTCAACGGCAAGAAGGAGACTCAAGGGAAACTCACCAACTGCATGAAGCTGATTCAATACCAAGCAAGTCACACCATTCAGAAGATCAGATCTGACAAAGGCACAGAATTCTTGAATGAAATCATCATTCACTACTGTGAAGAAAACGGAATTCTTCATCAGACATCTGCAGCAAGGACACCTCAACAAAATGGTGTAGCTGAAAGAAGGAACAGAACCTTGAAGGAAGCAGTGAGAACCATGCTAGCAGAAGCTTCCTTACCAAAGAGGTTCTGGGCTAAAGCTGTCAACACAACCTGCTATACTCAAAATAGGAGTATGATCTATAAAAGGCACAACAAAACTCCCTATGAACTATGGAACGGGAGAAAGCCTAATATATCATACTTCCATATTTTTGGGAGCAAGTGCTTTGTGTTAAACAACGGGAAGAATCAGCTGAACACTTTTGATGAAAAATCAGATGAGGCCATCTTCCTAGGATATTCCATGGTAAGCAAGGCATTTAGAGTCTTCAACAAAAGAACCATGATCACTGAAGAGTCAATACATGTTATTTTTGATGAAAAACATGTGGTTGACAAACCATCAAAGCATGATCATGAGGTTCTGGACCTATCAGACAAGGATGAAGAAG